GACTAGAGTACAGTGGCACGCTTCCGGCCACCGCAGCCTAGACCTGCTGGGCTCCGGTAGTCCTTCCACCTCAGCCTTCCAAATAGCTGGAACTACAGGCGTGTGCGACCACGCCCGGCTAATTTTTGATTTATTGTAGAGACGAGGTCTCTCCAAGTTGCCCGGGTTGGTCTTGAACCCACGGACTCAGGCAGTCTACTCGCCTTGGCCTCTCAAAGTGCTGAGATTACAGGCTGAGCCCCCGAGCCCGGCCTGGGGTGGGTTTTGATGTGGTCTCTTGTCCCTCTCAGGAAGACCTTGTGGCCTTTCCTACTGGTTCCTCTTCCCAGTATATACACCTTTTGTTCACTGGCTTCTGCCCTGTCCAGAAATGAGTCCCTCTGGGCATTTCCCACAATACGGAAGGGGAAGGCCTCCCGATGATGATGTTGATGGTGCTGGTGATAATGATAATGATGGTGATGATGACAATGGTGGTGATAGAGATGACAGTGATGGTGATGATTGATGGTGGTTGTAACGTTTGAAGATACCGAAAGAGGCACGGGACAAAGGGCCGTTTATTGGGGGAGAAACTCCCGGGCGAGGTCCCCTGGTCCGGAAAGATGGGCCAAGGGAGTCACACCCAAGGAGGGGCAGGCTTGGGTTTTTAAGGGTGCTGTAATTTGGGGAGGGTGTTGGGGGTGGCAGTGAAGTGGGGAGACAAAGCGTTGCATCCAGCATGGGCTGGAAAGTTTGTCTGCCCTTCTCAGCAGCTGCCGGCAGGTTTTAGTAAACTGGTATGTGGTTTGTGGGTTTAGGGTGGAGGGGCAGATGGGGGAAGGTGAGTGCTGCTTCTCTCCAGGCCTAACAGTGGTGATGACAGTGATGGTGAGGATGAGGATGATGGTTACACTGAGAGTGCATACAGTTACAGGTCCTCGACTGTTTGTGTTACCAGCACCATCCGTATCGGGTTTTCTCAACTTCAGTGCTTTAACTTTTGGCTGGATAACTGCTTGTCTTAGAGGTCTGTTCTGTACATTGTGGGATGTTCAGCAATGTTCCTGGCCTGTACCCACTAGATGGATAATGATGTTCCTCGATATTGCCAAATGTCCCTTGGGGGGCAAAATCACCCCGATGCAGAACCACTCATCTAATGTATTCTTCCCAGCAGTCCCAGGAGGCAGCAACTCATTTTGCAGATCAAAGCCGGGTTCAGTGGCTCAGCCTGTAGTCCCGTGCCTTTGGGAGGCTGAGGTGAGTGGATTGCCTGAGCCCGCGGGTTCGAGACCCACCTGGGCAGCGAGACCTCATCTCTACCCAAATCAAAAAATCAGCCAGGCGTGGTAGCGCGCGCCTGTAATTCTGGCTACTCGGAAGGCTGAGACGGAAGGATTGTCGGAGCCCAGCAGGTGAGGCTGCGGTGGCCGGGAGCGGCCACTGCACTCCAGTCTGGGCAACCGAGTGAGACTCCAACTCAAAAAAAAAAAAAAAACATTTTGCAGATCATGCACCTAAGGCTTAGAAAAATGAAGGAAGGCTGGGTACGGTGGCTCATGCCTATAATCCCAGTACTTTGAGAGGCCTAGGTGAGAGGATTGCCTGAGCCTATGGGTGCGAGACCAGCCTGGCCAACTTGGCGAGTTCTCATCTCTACAATAAATCAAGAAAAATTAGCCAGGTATGGTGGCGCATGCCTGTAGTTTTAGTTACTTGGAAGGCTGAGGTGGAAGGATCGCCTGAGCCCAGCAGGTGGAGGCTGCAGTGGCCGTGAACGTGCTACTGCCCCCAAGACTGGGCAGCAGAGTGAGACTCCAACTCAAAAAAAAGAAAAGAAAAATGAAGGAAGTTGCCCAAGGTCACCAAGCTCATAATTCACAGGGCCAGAATGCCAACCCCAGCTGCCTGACCCCAAGCACACACTTATAACCACTGCCCTTTATTACCAGCAGAAGAAGACCGTTCATCAGCCTCTTGGTGGAGCGTGTGGCCAGGTTGGGGCCTGCTTGGTCAGGCCAAGCATCCACAGTTAGATTCATTCTGAGTTGATGAAAACAGTGGTGTCTTTCTGCCCGTTTCCTGACTTGGTTTGAACTCAGAGAGCTGAATGTATTTATGTGGAGACTGTCTACACAGGCCTTAGGCCTGTGCTACCACAGGGAGGTCCCATGGCTTCTCCTTCCTTCAGGCAGTCCTGTCACCTGGTGTGTCACCTGTAGACCCCTGTGGAGAGTAGGAACGGGCCTAGGCGTGTTTTTTCTGCAAACGGGACATCCTAAGCTCATTGTCTGTGTTCTCATGCTGAGGTTATGAATTTGGTTTAACCGAGTATCTGCCCAAAATACCTATTCATAAAATTTTCATTGTAATGAAAATTTAAAAACATACAGCAAAGTTGAAAAATTTTGCAGTGAGCACCTCCATACCCACCAGTTAGGGTCTGTCATTAATCTTTTATTAACTTTCCTTGATCACTCGTAGTATTTTCCTTTCCTGGAACCCAGGTCAGCGTGGTCTCTGGCTGATGGGCCAGCGTTCTCTAATAGGAGAATAAATAACATGCAGTGACCATGAGACCAAGATGATCTCCCCCCAGGTTAATGGGGGAGGTAAAGGGTCATGAAGGACCCTTATCACCATCACAAATCATCATCACAAAGGAAACCCCATACCTCTCAGCGGTTACCCTACCTCTACCCTCAAAAGCCCTAGGTAACCGCTAATCTACTTTCTGTCTCTCTAAATTGCCTATTCTGGACATTTCATCATGTAAATGGAGTCATATAATAGGTGGTCGTTTGTACCTGGCTTCTTTTAACATAACGTTTTCAAGGTTCATCCATACTGTAGCATGACTAGGTACTTTGTTCCTTTCTATAGCCAAATGTTTCATTGTGTGGATGTGCCACATTTTGCTTATCTGTTTATCAGTCGATGGACATGTGGGTTGTTTCCATCATTTGTCTATTGTGGATAGTGCTACTGTGAACATTTGTGTACAAGTTTTTTGTTTGGACGCCTGTTTTCAATTCTTTGGGGTATACACCTACAAGTGGCATTGTTGGGTCATATGATAATTTGCTAGTTTGTTTTTGGAGATGAGGGTCTCACTATGTTGCCTAGGCTGGTCTTGAATTCCTGGCCTCAAGCTATCCTCCCACCTCAGCCTCCTGAGTAGTTGGGACCATAGGTGTGAGCCACAGTGCCTGGCCTAGTCATATGATAATTCTGTATTTAACTTTTTGAGGAACTGCTAAACTGTTTTCCCACCAACAATGCACAAAGGTTCCGGTTTCTCCACGTTCTCACCGATACTTGTTATTTTTCATATTTTTATCATAGCAGGTGTGAAGTGGTATCTCATTGTTATTTTGATTTGCATTTCTCTGACATCTAATGATGCTGAGAATCTTTTCACATGATCTTTGGGCATTTGTATATCTTCTTTGGAGAAATGCCTCTTCAAATCATTTGTTCATTTTTAAATTGAAATGTTTGTCCTTTGTTATTGAGTTGTAAGAGTTATTTACATATTTTAGTTACTAGGTCCTACTTTTTCTCCCCCCATAGAAACAGAGTCTCACTCTGTCACCCAGGCTGGAGTGCAGTTGTGCAGTTATAGCTCACTGCAGACTTGAGCTCCTGGGTTCAAGCAATCATCCTGTCTTGGCCTCCCAAAGTACTGGAATTATAGGCGTGTGGCACCATGCCTAACCTGATACTAAACCCTTATAAGATTTATGGTTTGCAAATATCTCCTCCCATTCTTTTCACTATCTTGATAGTGTCCTTTGATGTACAAAGTTTTTGATTATGATAAAATCCAGTTTTTCTTTTTCATTAATGCCTTTGGTATCATCTAAGAAATTACTGCCAACTCTGAAGTCATGACGATTTATCCCTGTATATTCTTCTAAGTGTGGTATTATTTTAGCCCTTCTGTGTAGGGCTTTGATCTGTCGGATTTTGTAAATGGTGTGATGCGAAGTTCCGGCTTCCTCCCTTTGCATGTGGCTCTCCTGTTGTCCCATCAGCATTTGTTGAAAAGACGATTCTTCCCCCATGGAGTGCCGCTGGCACCCTTGTTGGAAACCACTGATGTGTGGGCTTATTTCTCAATTCTATTCCATTGTTGTATGTACTGAGTTCCCTCTGGGGATGAGATGTGGCCAGCTCTCAGGGAGCATTTGGTCCAGTAGGAAGAGTCAGAAATGTTCACAACCCACCAGAAGCTAGGAAGTTCAGGAAGAGATAAATGTGGTATGTTTATGGAGGTGAAGGAGTGCTGGCTTCAGCTGGGGCCATAGGTGTGGAGTGGTGGAGGCATGGGCTTGGGCATGGGGATGATGCCAGGTGTTTCTGTTTGAAGACAAATTTGGCCAGGCAGGGTAGAGCCTTTGGTAGATGGCCATGAACTTCCAGGTGAGACCGTTGGGCTTAATTTGAAAGTGCCTGGGCAGAGTTGGACCTTTGGTGGGCCTGTCTGGTGGCTGGGATCCTGGAGCCAAGAGAACTGCCCAAGATCGGGGGGTGACTGAGGTTTGGGTGAGCACCAGGGTCGGGCAGTGGGAATGGCGGGTAGCAGAGTCTGTCTTCGAGAATGAACGAGGCCTCCTCAGACACCAGTCCCTTGGTACTTCTCTGTTCTGTGTATGTGTCAAGGGTGGGGTAACAGCAGCACCAGAGGCAGGCGGTGAGGGCCATCCACAGGCCTTGCACCTCCAATCCCAGCTGCTGTCTGCTCTGGGAGACGGCCCCAGCCCACCTCCTCTACAATACTCTCCAGGCTGCTCTGGTCCTGGATTACCCCAGGCCTTCTCAGAACCCCTGTTTGGCCAATCCTGGCACAGTTCACAGTTTCTGGGACCCCTTTGCACGCTTCCAAGGGCTAGGTGGTTGGAAAATACCTCTGGCTTATCATATTTATTGGGACCCACACCTGGAACCAGAGCACCTCAGGAGACAGAGAAGGTGACAGAAAGTGCCTGGGCTCAGCCCAGCTCAGTTGGGCCAGGCTGGGTACCTGGTACCAGTTGTGTGGCCTTGAGCAAGTGGCTGCATATCTCATGTGTTTCCTCTTTTCCGGAAGAAGTGATGGTCGTGCTGTCCCCTTGGGCTTGTGATGGGTTCCAGTTGGGTAGTCCGTGGCAAGCACCTGGTAGGTAGGTGGCACCTGTGAACTGGCTGCTTTCCTTTCTCAGTTTGGTAGCACGGGGTCAGGCTGAGCAGGTGCAGGGATTTTTGGATTTGTGAGTTCCTCTTTTTTTTTGAGTTGGAGTCTCACTCTGTTGCCCAGACTGGAGTGCAGTGGCCGCTCCTGGCCACCGCAGCCTCGGCCTGCTGGGCTCCGGCGATTCTTCTGCCTCAGCCTTCCGAGTAGCTGGAACTACAGGTGCGTGCTACCACACCCGGCTAATTTTTTTTTCTTTATTGTAGAGATGAGGTCTTGCCAAGTTGCCCAGGCGGGTCTCAAACCCGCAGGCTCAGGCAATCCACTCACCTCAGCCTCCCAAAGGCACGGGATTACAGGCTGAGCCACCGAGCCCGGCTGGTGAGTTTCTCTTAAAGACCTGGAAAATGCCTACTAAGTGCCAGTAGTTCTGTGTGGCCTTTTTCCGGCCCATCTTCTCTGTATCAAGCCATGGTCTGGCGTGATCTCACTCTGACTCAGGTCATTCCCTCCACTATCGCCTGAGTCCTCTGCAGTGCCTCTTATGGGCATCCCCACTTATTTGGGGTCTCAGCCTCTGCCAAGGGAACAGGGAGTGTGCGGAGAAGCAGACAGCTGGTTTCCAGGCAGTGCGGTGCTTAACCTTGGCATCAGAACAGAGAAACGTCTGTTTGTGTTTCCACGAATTGGAGGGGACAGCTGGCCCACAGATAGCAGGCAAGGTCAGCTGGGGATTGCCTTGGCTGCCGGCTTTAAGCAAACTCTGGCTCTGGTGAGGTGGGCGGAAGAAGGATGGAGAAGTACTGGCAGAGCCCAAGGAGAGCCACCAGAGCGCTGGTGCCTGGATGGGGCTGTGCAAAGACCACGAGTCAAGGCAGCTGTGTGGGGCGCTGTTCCCTGGGACCTGGAGGACCACCCCCAGCAAACCTGAGGATCAGGACTTGACCACACAGGTGAGGAGGGTCTTCTTTCCAGAGTCTTCTTTGCTTCATGGAGAGATTCCTCTTGGGCTCCTTCAACAAGCAACTCCCAGGAGTGAGCTAAAATCAGATTTCCTTTGCAAAGATCCTGCTTGCCTGGGACTTCCCAAACCCACATAAATCACACAGAAGGAAGCAGGTTTGTATTTCTGCATTACAAGACAAACATCATTAACACCCCTTACTGCCCCTGCCTGGCCTAAGCCAGTGCCTGGGAGCCCCAGGGAGAACTTGGGTGTTTTCTGAGCAGAGAGCACCAGAGGCCACAGACCCCTGCTTACCCTGAAGCCTTGATATTATTCTAGGAACCTTCAAGCTAAATTCTGATTTCATTTCCTGTTCTTTTGTGTGTGTGTGCCATGGACCCCCCCCCCCTTTTTTTTGACAGTCTGGTGAACTTTTCTCAAAATAGTGATTTTTAAATGCAAACAGGATTCAGAGGAAACCAATTATATTGACTTATAGTTACCAGAACATTTAAAAAACGAGCTTGTGACATAATAATCTATGCTTTTTCAATGAAGCATTGAGTCAACAGTCTTTCAGTAGGTCTAGTAACTACTATAATCTTAAAGTAGGGATGGGCATACCTAATATTCTGAGATATCTGCAACTCTTTACTGTGATATGACAATACCTGATTATATTGATGACTAAGGCACAGATGCTGATATGACCATCATTTGTTGCCTATATTCATAATTAAAGGAAAAAGAAATTTTCAAGTTTGGATTAATGAAAATAAAGATGTAATTTTTTTCCCCATCCAAGTTCACAGATCCCCTGTGAAGAACCCCCAAGACAAGCAGTGCCCCAAGGAGACTGTTTCCTCGGATGCTCTTTTTGTATCAACATGACGTCTCCCTGTCCCAAAATTTAGATCCCTCTCCTGAGGTCCTTAGCACCCTAGGAGCTCCAGGGGCATTCTAGACCCGCTTAAGCCTCTGTGCACACATGCTAAAGAGCCCACTGTGTCTGGTGTCCCCACCTCCAAGGTAGGGCTCTGGCTCCTCTTATCCACATGTGTTGTGGGTTGAATTGTGTCCCTCGAAGGACATGTTGAAGACCTAATCTCTAATACAAATCACACCTGTAACCCCAGCACTTTGGGAGGATTGCTTGAGCCCGGGAATTCAAGACCAGCCTAGGCAACATAGCAAAACTTCATCTCTACAAAAAACAAAAAAAATTAGCTGGGTGTGGTGGTGTGTGCCTGTAGTCCCAGCTACTCAGGGGGCTGAGGTGGAAGGATCGCATGAGCCTAGTAGGTTGAGGCTGCTGTGAGCCATGATTATGGTGATCATGCCACGGCACTCCAGCCCAGGTGACAGAGTGAGACCCCCAAACTCAAAAAGAAAAAGAAAAAGACACAGGGAAGACAGCCATATGAAGACGAGGCATAAGGAGATGGCCATGTGAAGACACAGAGACCAGATGAAGACAGAGATTGGGGTCAGACCGCTGCAAGCCAAGGGAGGCCAAGAATTGCCAGTGAACACCGGAAGCCAGGAGAAAGGCGGCTCCTTCCTTAGGTTCTTTGGAGAGAGCGTGACCCAGCTGACACCTCGAGTTTGGATGTCGACTCTAGAGTGGTTTTAAGCCTCCCAGTTTGTAGCAGTTTGCTCCAGTTTGCTCGTCTCTGGGAGACGAGCACTGCATGATCTGTTGGGGAATGGCCTGCTCTGGCCGGGAAGCCAGCCTGCTGGGGGGCCTCTCCTTCCTGTGCCTTCCCAGGTTGACTCCTGCCTAGGAGTCACTGCCTTCAACTCTGAGATCGCCTTGATTCGGGAGTTCTACCTACCCTGCCCTTCAGAAATGACAAAAGCAAGCTGTGCCTCTGGGGACCTGTAGACAGAGCGTGTGACTGTTAAATTCCAAGGGCTGGTGCTTGAAGTGAGAAGGGGAGAAGCGGGGTGTTTTGCATCTCATTTTGGTTGGAGGCTTTGCACAGCATTCCAGTCCGGGAATGAGAAAGCAGTATCAGGTAGATGGAGACTGGCGGGGAGTTGGATGCACTGGAATGGCTGTTTTAGGCCAGTAAAGATTCTAGGATTTACTTTTCCAGGAAAAGAAAAAAAAAGACCCACAGCATTAAGTGAGACCGCCTACATGTGCATCATGTGGGGCCTTGTTGGATACAAGGAAAAATAACTCCTGCTCAGCCCTCAAGCAGCACGGCTGAGCTGCCCTGCAGGGCATGTACCTGGTGCATTGTTAGCTCTCAGAGTATGTTTGTGGAATGGATGAGAGAGCAAGGAAACCAAAAGTAGCTGGGTTGCTTGTCCTGCTGAGAACAGTAATAGATGCTTAGCTCTGCAGTCGTCCAAGCAAATCATGGAATGGGTCATGGGGTGTCCAGGATTGCTGCCCCATGAAGGGAACAGGCAAGAAAGGCTGCAGGAGTCTGAGCAGGGGCCAGAGGGCCTGGGAGAGGCCCACCTGAGAGGAGAGATCCAAGGGGAGCTATGAGGACAGGTGGAGTACCCTCATTTGATTAACTAAATCATTCTTTGAAAATTATTAAAGACAGGCTGGGCATGGTGGCTCATACCTGTAATCCCAGCACTTTGGGAGGCAAAGGCAGGAAGATTGCTTGAGCCCAGGAGTTTGAGACCATCCTGGGCAACAGAGCGAGACCTGGTCTCTAGAAAAATGCAAACATTAGCCAGACATGGTGGTGTGCGCCTGTAGCCCCAGCTACTCAGGAGGCTGAGGTGGGAGGATGGCTTCAGCCCAGGAGGTTGAAGCCACGTTGAGCTGGGATTGCACCACTGCATCTCAGTTTGGGCAGCAGAGTGAGATCCTGTCTGAAAAAAAAGGGAGGAAAGGAAAGAAAGAAAGAAAAAGAAAAAGAGGGAGAGAGAGAAATTCACTTTTAATCCCAAGTCTTACTCCTTTCTTTTTTTTCTTTTTCTTTTTCTTCTTTTTTTTTTTTGAGTCGGAGTCTTACTCCTTTGCCCAGGCTGGAGTGCAGTGGCATGCTCAGGGCCACCCCAGCATCGACCTGCTGAGCTTCGGCGATCCTTCCGTCTCAGCCTTCCAAGTAGCTGGAACTACAGGTGTGTGCTATCACACCCGGCTAATTTTTTGATTTATTATAGTGACGGGATCTCGCCATGTTACCCAGGCTGGTCTTGAACCCATGGGCTCAGGTAATCCTCTCACCTTGGCCTCCCAAAGTACTGGGATTACAGGCTTGAGCAACCATGCCCAGCCTCCAAGTCTTACTTCTCTAACATGTTAACTCTACATTTTCTGTGTTGGTACATGATTATTGTATTGTGCCATCAATGTGTCCACCGTTTGGTTCTGCTGCTTGCACCTGATCTTGCTGTATACCTTTTTCCAGATCATTTATCATCCTTGACATTGACTGTGACGTTGACCATGCCTGGATGTGCCATTGTTGACTGTTCCTCAAGAGTTGGAGATCTTTCTAGATGTCCCAGAGTTTTAGTTGGTATAAACCACTTTGCAGAGTGGGCCAGAGGCAGGACAGTGAGACCTGTTCAGTGACTAGGCCTATGTGTGGCGGGGAAGAAGAGGCAGGTTAAGGAGGTAGAGGTTGTGCTGTTGGGCCTCAAATTTCAGGCTGATAAGGCTGGGCATTATTCTATGGGCCTTGATAAACTCTTTTTTTTTTAGTTGGAGTCTCATTCTTGTTGCCCAGGCTGGAGTATAGCAGCACGCTCATGGCCACTGCAGCCTCCACCTGCTGGACTTAGGCAATCCTTCTGCCTCAGCCTTCCAAGTAGCTGGAACTACAGACGTACACCGCCACATCCAGCTAATTTGTTTGATTATTGTAAAGACAAGGTCTCACCAAGTTGACCAGGCTGGTCTTGAACCCCCAGACTCAGGCAGTCCTCTCACCTAGGCCTCCCAAAGTGCTGGGATTACAGGCTGAGCTACTGTGCCTGGCCCTTGGTAAACTCTTGAAGGTTAGTATTAGTTCCCTGAGGGTGTACTGGACACTTGCCATGTCTGGACACTGTGCTTGCCCAGTGGATAC